TTAACACTTCAAAAATAATGTAAATAATTACGAAAAGTGAAATTGCCACTTTTTTTCACTGATTGGTGTCCGTAGCTTAAATATCATAACATTTTCACTATTTTAATTATTCAGAAAAGAAGCTTGAAYCACGATGGCCCAAAATCAAAGCCACATACAAAACATAGTATCTTTGACGGAAGGTTTAAGACTTAGCTTGCGCAGCAATGACAACGAAATCAAAAGCAATAAGGAAAAGATATTTTCTTTGGAAGAAGAGATAAGAGAAAGTCGCAGCAAGGAAAACAGCCTTAAAGAAAAGATCAGATCTTTAGAAAGTAAAATACAAGACCTGAAGGATGAGAATGAAAGGTTGGTTAAACAACTGCGAGAAATGCAAGTGAAAATTCAGGAGCTAAAAGAGACCAAAAATCAAGAAGAAAGTGTGTTAATTATTGGTCAAATTGGCACATCCACACAGAGAAACTTGTGCAAGTACGTCCTGCGAGAACACTTCAATGAAAACTCTTACTACAAGTTTAAAGATATCGACAAATACATCRAAAATCTGRRACGTCAAACCGACCAAGAGTCAGCAAGAGAGCGGCTGGACGAATTGAAKGRAAARATTTCTTGGGATCAAAGTTTGGTGGATAGCCTTAAAAACCTTAATCAARCGAGARTCGGCATCGCTCATCCTGACCTTACCAGTGAAAAGATTCAAGAAGCTACAAATTATTTGAAAGAGGAGAAAAWGCTGAACGAGGGAATGGTCGATATTATAAACAAGCTAAAAGAACTATGGGAAACTTCCAAAGTTTTGTTGCAGTAAGTTAACATTTATAAAAATTAATTGGTTCGAAAACAAAAATGACGTCTGGCGGATATGCTTTTAATTGAAACTAAACGCTTATTTTGTTTTGCTTCAAGCCTTGTTGTTGATACCATATAACTTACGTCATGACACTATTATCTTACAGGACAAGCTCCGCAGATGGTCAAGATCAAAGTGGTTCAAGGGTTGTGCCTGCCGCAGGACAAAAGGACCAAAAGCACGGCCTGAAACTAAGAGGCAAGGTCCACATTAACGGACTTGCACACTCTACTCTTCCTCCTAAAAAGGCTAGGGGTTTACGTTGCAGGTGAATTTATTTTTAATAGAGAGTTTTAGATTGACCTTTTTTTCTCCCCGCAAACGGCAAACGTGATCACGTTTTCATAGTTTTCCTGTATTTTACTTTACCTTTTACAAACCTTCTCACCAAACACAAATACTCTTTTGTTTTTCTACTACTTGGACTTTTTTTGCGATTCTTTTTCAGTAATTTAAAAGAATTTTTTACTGGTGAACTGACGTTTTGGGTTTGCCGTGAACGTAAATCTAAAACTCTCTATTGTTGGCAAGAAGCTTCTACGTACTAGAGAAGCTTATTTGGCAGCTCACCGTCATAGTCTAAACAATTTAGGACTAAAAGTAGAATCAATACACCCGTTTCGAATTCCAAATTACCGCTGTGTTTCTTGATTACAGACTCATTTGCACAGGGTTAGCCTCGAGTTTGTGCAGAATATTCACGTGTTCCAGTCAAGGTCCGTCGAGTTTCAAAATGTTTGTATTGTTGAAGTTGTGCATTCTTTACTTTACCGTTGGTATTTATGAATATTTAGACACTGATGCGAAGTTAACCCTGTGCAAATGAGCCTGTAATCAAGGAACACAGCGGTAATTTGGAACTCGAGACTGGTCTATTAGTTCTTGCAATTGGTATTTTTTGGCAGTTTAGAAATTCCATCATTTACTATTATAATAATCTACACTAATTATACAGCTTCTCATTAATCCCATATAG